ATTACCGAGGTATTAATGGCATGCCAATTACCCATTTCTACTCAACTATCTAAACAAATATAAATGAAGCAACAGAGTGTTCAAAATGTGTTTCTAACAAGACTCATGCTTTAACAAGAATAAGTAAAGCAAAGAAGCAATTCTACAATCATATGACCATGCATGAGATCTTACCAAGCATATTTATTCAGGTGTGATGATTTCTTAAGATCAGCATGCAAAATGAAAACAAAATGACACTCCTAGAATAACACATGTCATGTGGATAAATAGAAACATTGGTCGAACCGAGACAAACCGATAGTTGTTGTTGAAGAAAGAGGGATTCCTTGGGCGTCCCAAAGATTAGATACCTGAGACTTTTTGAATACTTCCTTGAGGAGCCTTTGAAAACCCCAATATTGAGATTAGCCTCTCATTTTTCTCCTTGTATCACTGTCTCGCCTGGGTTTTAACAACTTCAGACGCATAGAACTTATTGAGAAATTGTGACATTGGTTATTTATAAATAATACTTAAATAAAATCATTACCTTCCAAAAATTTTTTGAAGAAAAATATAATTATCATTATCTACTCTGTGGCAAACAATCCTAGCACTCCCATAAAATTGCAAATATAAAAGTTTTTTACTACTCTCAAAAGAGTCTATCAAAATAAGGAAATATATAAATATGCAAACAATATCCATGCTTACTATCTAAAGAATTCACAATTATATTAGAAACTGATGAATTGATCTCACTTTTTAGTAGAAGCAAACATTTGTTTCAACGCTAGAACACATAAATTTCTAACTGAGAAAGGTAATGACAATTCTTGGCATTTTGTTAAGAAAAATAACAGAAAACAAAGTTGTTACAAAAAAGAACAAGCCCATTGAAAAATAAAAGAAACAAATATAAAACATAGGTTGCGACCTACAAGCGCTTTTCTGTAATGCCTTTTATCTAGGCGTAATGTTCTCCGTATAATTTTTTGAGTTTTTGTCGGCATTCTTGAAAGAGTCCTTACTAGCAGATGTATTTTTCATAGGAGGTCCTTTCAATATTTTAGTAGCACTCTGACATTTAAGATCCTTTCCTCCATGAGGTTTAAGGTTACAAACTTCTTTCGGTGTGTTGATACAAGTGTGGCGAGTTCTGGCACCAATGGTAGAGAGGGCACTTTTGCAACGAGCTTGGTGAAGAGGTGTATATGGCTGATGGATCGATATTGAAAAGTGAGTCTACCTAGGGATTCTTGTATAATGACAGCTTGGTAAAGTCGTTGGAGCCCCATGCCGGTTCATGTCGTAGAACTTTCTTGAACGCCTCACAAAGTCCAATTTTATTTTACTCCTTCAACTAACAAGGAACTTGGTGGTGTACCCTCGCACTTGAACTCCACTAGGTCAAAAACCTAGGATCAAGCTCCTGCATTGCAAGGGAGAAATCATGCTCATCTAGCGTCCACAAGAGATGAGATAAATGGGGGAAGAGGATGTTGGCAACATTACAGACAATGGACTGGCCAACAATGATTTCTAAGATCCTAGTTTTTGTTTATGATGTGATGTAGACAAACAACCAGTTGGTGTTGCCATCCTGAAGCCATGTGAACCACACGTGTTTACCTGGCATACTATGACTTAGAGGAAGGCGAGTTCGAGGTAGGTTCCTTTGAGATTTTGTTGGATCCATGCTTGAAAGGCATAGAGTGGTTAGATATATTATGAGGTGTCAAGACAACCGATAATCTCGCGGGATATGAGCAGCTGTAGGGAAACATTGTTGATCTTCTTGGCTCTCCAGGAACAAAGTTGTTGAGTGGTGGTCATGATTTGGGAGACAATGCAGTAGAATGGGTCCAGATTAGCAGCCACCGAACTCCATGTTTCTATCACCACTTGATGAATCCCATCAATCGAAAGCCAGTCCTACTCAAAGCGGAAGTGGCATGCGCGGTGGTACTATAAGCACAGTTGACAATCCGCTGGCAGTGGTGGGAGAATACCCTTGCAAGGGAGTAGATCAGGCTTCGGTGGTGTAGCTCTTCCTAGCTGTAGGTACAATTTGCTTCATTGATGTGCTCAACGGAGGGAGCATAGCACCAGGCAAGCCACCCACCCAAGAGGAGAGGTCATCGTTCTAGATGATAAAAGATGATTGCACCACTTGAAGAGGTAGATCCATAAGACAAGGAAGTCAAACCACCTCTAAGGCGACAAATTGGTAGTGCACAATAGGCTGGAAATAAGGAAGAGTGCACCCACACACTACATGGCTGAAGTGATAACAACTCCTATACTAGTCGCCTAGCGACCAGAGACATTATGGTGCATGTCGTTGAACGTGTGGCACTCATCGACCGGTGGGTGGGGCGACAATGATTGCGGTTTGTTGCGACTTTCCAGGTGTACTCGGGTTGTTTTCCATCACAGAGGACCGAATGTAATTTAACCTCGGCTATGGATGTAGAGTGATCAGAGATGTGTCTGGTGTGTGAGCACCTCCGCCTTCAGGGACATAGGGGCATGTCCAATAGTCAGTTTTGGTAGGAGGGCCTATACTATAAGAGCACATAGAAAATGACGATAGAGCCAACACAACTCTATCAATAGGCTAGTGGGGTGTGGGATGGCTCCACGAGTTACTATGCGGGATATGTGGGAGGAGGTGGGTTGACACCGAGGCCAAAAGTGGCTACCGACTAGGGCTAGAGGGGAGGCTCCCATGAATGAATTATTCATATGTTTGACATATGGGATATTCAGGTATGCATTTATGAGCACGAAGATTATTATTCCTACAATTGGTACATTACGTAAGGCACAAAGGAATGAAGGATGAAAGAACAGACATCAACAACTTATATGTCCTTCACTCTTTAGTTTCCTCAATTTGAGCATATTATATAGGGCACCGCTAAGTGTCAGCTTAATTTCCACAACCCAAATGGGTCGGCCAAAAACCAATGATTAATCCCTGGTGAGAGTTGGATATCTTTCACCACAAACACATAGGATAAATAAATAACTGCCCTATGGGGGACGCATCCCACACAAATAGCGCACCTGGGAAAGTGACACCCTTGTTCTTGGGCAAGAGATGTAGACTCTCATGACGCTCCCCTGACCAATTTGCTCCCAGCAGCCATCCACAATAGTTGCACCACTAATAGCTCCCAATCACCCCCGCCATTTCATCAGGCAACTTAGCCCTTGCCTCGTTGTCGCAGCTTTGTGCATGGCATCTTCGTCCACCAATTTTAGCTCATCGCAGCTACATTCGTGGTATCCACCATGGATGACTGTCTAGTTCCCCGCATTTTGGGTACCGAGTGAAATTTCATGATCTCACGCGGTTACCACGTTTACCGTTTCCCCTCGAGAAACACTCTTACCGAGCAAAATATCTTGAATATTTTGAAATTTTTGAATTCAAACGCTTAATGTCGGATTAAATAGGCGCCATCTCTTCTATGACAACAGGACAGGTAGCGGCCTAGTGGCAAAGGCATCCTTTCCTTACCAGCTAGTCGCGGGTTTGAGTCTGCCCTCTGGCATTTCTATTCTTTTTTACGAAGCAAAAGTTCAAAAATGCTGAAGCATCCAGGGATCGAACTCGCGAAGTAGGAGCAAGCGGAAGTTGCGGTGCATTAGCCACTACGCCAGGGCATTTCTAGTGAAACTCTAGAGTCAAATACGTATATATATCGACGTCAAAAATATTTGAATTCAAATTTCAATTTTAAATTTCATCTGAATTTTTTTCGGAATTTCACGGTTACCGTGGTAACCGCAAATTGCGGTGACCCTCGAGAAAAAAGGTCCGCTTGGGATCCAAAGCCTTGCTAGTTCCTCGCATCAGCTGTCAAAGCTAGATGTAGCACCTGGAGGCACTGGTTCCAGCTTGCAGGCCATCGCTTGAAGCATCGTTGATGTTAGTTTCAACATCGTTTGATGTCGGTTCCAGCACCATCCACGAGCGGTCACATCTTTTGGTGTTGTCGGTTGTAGTATTCGGCGTAGATGGGATCGGAACTCGGAGCCCACTCTAAACCCAGTCGCAGTGCACCCTACTTCTAGTTCCAACATCCTGCACCAGCCATCACCACCCCTATGGCCATGCGTTCGCAACATGCGTCGCTACTGGTTCCATCACCCATGTTGTGTGTTCCAATATACTGAGTTGTCCGATTCAACACCGTCGCTTCCCTTGGTCACCATAGTCACATCTTGGAGGAACCAAGGTTTCATCTTTTGTACTGGCTGGTCAAAAGCTATGGTGACGGGGTTTGCAGATTCTTTGTCGAGGCTCATGCTCTACTGAAAATTCCCTTTGAGCTCTGGTCACTTCGAGGTAAAAGGGGGATGCCTAGGTGGGGGAGACTACTAGCGTCCCAGATGGTAAGAGGCAGGGCACACCTTCCCCTCCCCACTTCATCGTCGTCACATCCATCCTCTAGAGAGTACCGTGAGGGTGGAGCACCACTCCGTCATGGTCGCTCTCATTGCGTGTTGGAGGAGGCACTGTAGTAGCGCTTCAATTGGTGGTATTGAAAGGGCTCGTGGTCAGCATGGTGGGAAGAGAGCAAAGGATAGGTGTGCCAGGACAGGGCATGCGTGGTGATCAGGAGACAAAGAAGAAAAAGAAAAGTGAGATGGAAGTAAAATGATTGTGTTTCTTGGTGGAGGATAAAGAAAGCAAAGGAAGCTATGCCTCAGACCCACAACGTGGCCCAGATGTGTGCGACTGGCGAGGACGACCTTGCTCAGCCGACATGCAATCTTTTCCTTTTATACAAGCTCTAAATGATTAAGGATCATATGCTTTACCATGTGGACACATTATTTTCATGCCTGACCTTTCATAAATAAAACATAGATGACCAATGAACATTGTAAGAGGTGTCTCCATTTAGAAAGTAAAAAATTAGGTAGTTGTCCAAGACAAATATCATATTTCTTTTGTCTAACTTATTTTCATTTCTTTAGTTGATTTTATAATCATACTGCAGGCCCAAAAGCAAGAGGAACTCCCTGAGCAGGTCCTTTGTTGTGTTAGATTGAACAAGATAGACTTTGTCAATCATGGGCAAGTTCCAACGATTGTCGCATTCGATGATAAGTGATATACTGGATTGTAGCGGCTGCCTTGTGCAAGTTGTTGGAAGGCTAGATATGAAGATCTAGAGCAACAAAACAAAAATCAAAATTCCATGAGAATTATGCACCTCACATGTTCATTTATGCCTAATATATTCGCTATGTTGCCTGCTTTCATAGGCATGGATATTTTCTGATAGATAAAATATATAACTGTAGCGGTGAAACATGTGAACTTCTCTTGCTTCAGTACTGCTTTGGCAAGATAATTCTTAAACTGTTTTTGTAATGATGCATATGATATACTATCTAGCAAATATTGGTTAGGCACAATATTTTCTTGTAAAACACTTCTGATGTAGGATGAAACCATAGGTGGAGATCTTATTCACACTTGGAGGTGAGGAAGGAGAAATCAAGAGTAGAATCACAGGAGGAACACTTAAAGCAACATCCAAGGTTACACATCTACCAATTCCACATACAGATACAAGATTCAAGATCCAAATCCAACAAAAGGAAATAGCATAGGATAGTTCTTCCCAATCCTGAGAGGAATTGAGATCTTGTTGATCGTCTTCTCCAATCCCTAGGGGAGGAGGTCTAGATATCCACTTTGGGATCTTCTCCTAAAGGAGGCCTTGATCTCCAAAAGGAGAGGTAGATAGGAGAAAAGTTCTCAAGATCTCATAATATGCTTTTCTAACCATATAAGGAGGAGGGGAAGGTCTATTCATAGCCTAGGGTGGAATAGACAGGCTGGTGGAGATATACAAGGCCACATCACTGATTTGCGTGTAAGCAAGGCCGGACGTCCGAGTGGGTGCCCGGATGATTTGGACACTTCCCAGAGGATCTGGGTAGTCACCCATATGGTATGGCTATGGTCGTAGTGGCTAAGGACAGCCGGGCGTTCGGATGTTGTCCGGATGTCCGAGCATCTTCCAAATGATCCGGGTAGGTTCCCGGATGATCCGACTTCGCGTATAGGCTTCAGGTGTCCTCGGGCTTTGTAGCCGGATTGTCGCAGCTAGAAGCCGGATCGTCTGGGTGTACGCCGATCATCTGGGATGTTGTCCTAGCGTCCGGGTAAGTATCAGAATTGCCTAATTTTTTTCTTCTTCACCAAGTTCTTCTTCGGCCATTGCTTGGCCTTGGTCCTTAGCTTCTCCATGGCTAGTCCCTTGGCACTTGAGCATAAAAATGTCTCCATTTGATGTAGTATCCATGTCTCATGTGATTGAAGTTCAACAAGGAGGGAGTTGAACTCGGTTTCGATAGATCATGCACGAGCCCTAGTCATCGGTCCAATTGGTTTATTGGGTGACACTAGTAGAAAAAGGGTCAAACGTGAAGCACATTAGTGCCGGTTTGAATTTGAGCTGGCACTAATGTGTACATTAGTGCCGGTTCCAACGGCTAGCCGGGCCACTCTCATTAGTACCGGTTCGTGGCGAACCTTTAGCACCGGTTCGTGCCACGAACCGGTACTAAAGTGAGTGGTGGCAGGATGTTGTCAGTCCGGGGCCCCTCCAACTCCTTTAGTACCGGGTCGTATCACGAACCGGTACTAAAGGTCGTCCTACATAGAACCTTCGTCCACTCGAGCTCGCTCTGTTCTTCCCCTTTCCCCTCTCCTCTCTGTTGTTTCCCCTCTTCCTCTCAAGCTCATCACACATTTTGCCCATGATTTGAAGGCCCCCATCCATTCAAATGATCACAAAGGTTAGAAACTCTTTCCTTTCATCTCTCATTGCTAGATTAGCTCATGCAATGCTTTACATAGTGATTGATTTTTGAGTTTAGTAATTTTGGAGGAATTATATATATGTGCTAGTATTTGATTTATATGCAATTTGAGGTCAAAAATAACACTTAGTTTTGCATATGTAGGTGTGGTTTACTTAGTACCTTCTAAATCTCCGTCATAACCACCGTCGATCGCTCGCAACATCCCGTTGCCGGCACCACCTTGTGGTGAGCCTCTTGTTCATGAAGTTTTATATAAAAAAAATGATGTTTGAGTGATTTGGATATATAGTTACTTGTATAATTATCTTACCCATACGTTGTTTGTTATGCATAGTGCCATGGTTTTGATATCCGTCCCCGTCGGCCCTCATCCGGGTTATGATTCGGATGTGGTATATTCTCTTTTAAAACTATTCATTGCATTTCGTGTTTATGACAAATTATGCCCATCAAGTTGACATAGATATTTGTATGTAGGAGGTAGTTGAACCCGATATTCCAACCGACCCTATTGTCGAGAGGTTAAATTTAGTTGAAGGAGAAAACGAGGATTTGAAGGAAAAATTGAAAAGAATTGAGGGGGAGAAGATGGAATTGGAGTTGCATGTTGCCGATGTCGTTGATGATCACAATATTAAGATGGAGAAAATGTGCTTGAAGATTAGAAAGATTAGAAAATATGCCATTCATAGTGAGGCTTGGTATCATTATGCTGTTGGATCAATTGTTACCTTAGTTGCAATCTTGATCGCATTTGTTGTTGCATTTAAATTCTTTAGCTAGAGAGTTATTTGTTTGTTGCATTGAAGTGTTGTATGCTCTTTATGTATGAACTTTATGTATGAACTTTATGTATGAACTTTATGTATTGCATTAATTTGATGTTTTCGGAACTGTGTATTGAAGATGAGCCGGCAATGGATGTATGATGAACGATGCTCTCTCGACTTCATTAATGGCGTGCGTACTTTTCTGCTTGCGGCTGACACAAACAAGCGAGCGGATGGTTTTATGCATTGTCCATGTGCTGGCTGTAAGAATGGTCGCAATTACTCTACGTCAAGAACCATTCACGTCCACCTGTTTGAGTCCGGTTTCATGCCCCACTATAATGTTTGGACCAAGCATGGAGAAAGAGGGGTTATGATGGAAGACAATGAAGAAGAGGACGACGACAGCTATCCTGGCCATGGGTTCCCTGAATACGATGATACAACAATGAGGGAAGAAGCTGAGCCGGTAATGCGGGAAGAAGCTGAGCCGGCAATGCGGGAAGAAGCTGAAGAAGAGGCATCAGATGAGCCCGTTGATGATCTAGGTCGGGCCATGCCAATGCAAAGAGAAACTGCGCAAGTGATTTGGAGAAGAAGAAGTTGCAGCGCATGCTAGAGGATCACAAAAAATAGTTGTACCCGAATTGCGAAGGTGACAAGAAAAAGCTAGGCACCACACTGGAATTGCTGCAACGGAAGGCAGAGAATGGTGTATCTGACAAGGGATTTGGAAAGTTGCTGGTAATGATAAAGGATATGCTTCCAAAGGACAACGAATTGCCCGAGAGGACGTACCAAGCAAAGAAGGCTGTCTTCCCTCTAGTGTTAGAGGTGCAGAAGATACATGCATGCCCTAATGATTGCATCCTCTACCACCGTGAGTACGAGGATTTGAACGCTTGCCCGGTATGCGGTGCATTGCGCTATAAGATCAGCCGCGATGACCCTGGTGATGTCGAGGGCGAGCACCCCAGGAAGAAGATTCCTGCCAAGGTGATGTGGTATGCTCCTATAATACCACGGTTAAAACGTTTGTTCCAAAACAAAGAGCATGCCAAGGCGATGCGATGGCACAGAGAAGACCATAAGAGAGACGGAAAGTTGAGAGTACCCGCTAACGGGTCGCAGTGGAGAAAAATCAAAAGAAAGTACGGGAAGGAGTGTGCAGATGATGCAAGGAACGTATGGTTTGGTCTAAGCGCAGATGGCATTAATCCTTTTGGGGAGCAGAGCAGCAACCATAGCACCTGGACTGTGACTCTATGTTTGTATAACCTTCCTCCTTGGTTGTGCATGAAGCGGAAGTTCATTATGATGCCAGTGCTCATCCAAGGCCCTAAGCAACCCGGCAACGACATTGATGTGTACCTAAGGCCATTAGTTGAAGAACTCTTACAACTGTGGAAGGGAACAGGTGTACGTGCGTGGGATGAGAACATGGGGGAAGAATTTGACCTAAAGGCGTTGCTGTTCGTGACCATCAATGATTGGCCTGCTCTCAGTAACCTTTTAGGACAGACAAACAAGGGATACCGCGCATGCACGCACTGTTTGGACAATACCGACAATATATATTTGGCTAATTGTAAGAAGAATGTGTACCTGGGACATCGTCGATTTCTTCCGAGCAGGCATCCCATAAGAAAGAGAGGCAAGCATTTCTCCAGTGAGGCGGATCACCGGACGAAGCCTCGCCACCATACTGGTGCTGATGTACATGATATGGTCAAGGATTTGAAGGTGGTCTTTGGAAAGGGTCCTGGTGGACAACCTGTTCCAAATGACGCTGACGGACGTGCACCCATGTGGAAGAAGAAATCTATATTTTGGGACTTGCCCTATTGGAAAGACCTAGAAGTCCGCTCCGCAATCGACGTGATGGACGTGACGAAGAATCTTTGTGTGACCCTGCTTGGCTTCTTGGGCGTGTATGGGAAGAAAAAAGATACACCTGAGGCACGGGAGGACCAGCAACGTATGCACGTAAAAGACGGCATACATCAGGGTCATGCAAGCTACACTCTTACCAAAGAAGAGAAGGAAATCTTCTTTGAATGCCTGCTTAGTATTAAGGTACCGTCTGGCTTCTCATCGAATATAAAGGGAATAATAAACATGGCAGAGAAAAAGTTCCAGAACCTAAAGTCTCATGACTACCACGTGATTATGATGCAACTGCTTCCGGTTGCATTGAGGGGGCTTCTACCAGAAAACGTTCGATTAGCCATTGTGAAGCTATGTGCATTTCTCAATGCAATCTCTCAGAAGGTAATCGATCCAGAAATCATACCAAGGTTAGAGAATGATTTGGTGCAATGTCTTATCAGTTTCGAGTTGGTGTTCCCACCATCCTTTTCAACATCATGACACATGTCCTAGTTCACCTATGCGAAGAGATTAACGTTTTGGGTCCTGTATTTCTACACAATATGTTCCCCTTTGAGAGGTTCATGGGAGTCTTAAAGAAATATGTTCATAACTGTGCTAGGACAGAAGGAAGC